GGCAGATAGTGTAGAACCTTCGGGCGGACTACTTAAATTAGGCACTCAAAAGGTGCATGTGTGGCTTGATGTACCATCGTTATAATTGCATATAAAACACCATTTCAAATCCTAATAAAAGCTTTCAGGCCAAAGAGGTCTCCTTAACCAAAATAATAATAATAATAATAATAATATAAAAGTTTTTAAACGTCCATAAATGTATACATATTATTCTATGTTGTAATATTTGCATGAAGTATACTGTATAATTAATTAATAATGAAAAAATATATACAAATTAATCGTGTGCTAAATCAAACCTCCACAAATTTTCCGGGCTTTCATTCCGGTTCATCACGTGATCATCCGGAGCGCAACCTGGTACACATTTTCGACTTGCGTAATTTAGATAAAATTCAAATTTTATGCATCCAAGCAACACAAGTCAAAATGTCCATAAAACTATGGCTTTGAGTAATAGGTCAGAATGAAGGGTCAATTATGTAACATCGGCGGCTCCTCCTGTTAACCATTCTGCCTAGTGATGTAATCTGTTTCGTCAATGAGAAACCATATTTGCATTCATCCAATAGAAACTAGTAGGGAAAATTAGTAAATTCTTGTCTCCTAACATAAAATATCGATTATGACCAAATGTCGTAAATTTGTCATTTTACCTGCATAATATTAATTAATTTTCCCATATAAATCACGTTTCATATCACATTTTCAGATCAGATCCAATCAAATTCTTCGCTATGATTTTGCATTTTGGGCTTTAACGATCTGTGATTATCAATTCATCAGGGCGGTCGAACAGAAAAAAAAACAAAAAGAGAGAAATAATGAAAACAGGTTTAATGTACTACAATAAACTGCATGATTTTTACACAAAAATAAAAAATTTTGTACAATCATAACTTTTTTCCTGTCCTACAAGAGCAACCTCCACATATACAACGCCTTCAAATTTATGATACGGCAAATCTCCTTTTTTAGACAGTTTTTCTATAAATGGATGCAAATTTATTATCGTTATAAAAAAACGATTAATATAGAAAGTACGTGTTTCACAAAAATAAGGTTGGCGTATAAGGCGTTAATAATAAGGGCTATTAGAATCTTGAATTGGACCTAAGTCATAAAATTATATATAATACAATCGAAATTCTTTGGGCCTGGATGATTTCGTAAATTTGATAAAAGCGTGTGAGAAGTTCACAAATAAAATCTATATGAAATATAGTTGCAAGGGAAATTTTAAAAAAATTTTTACAAATAAGGTGAAATTGCTTTGTAACAACTATACTTGTAATAATCTGATGAAATAATAATAAGTGTATAAACAACTTTACAATATATTGCGGTTTGATTGAAAATTGCATTTACTTAAAATAAATCCCAGATTTAAAAAAGTCTATTTTCGATGTATAGCTTAGATAAAAGGAAAACAACTTGTAATTTTTCCCGACAATAATTATAACAAAATTTAATTTTAAGTTATAAAATAAAGCTTTAAGTCGACCGGTGTCATTATTTAAGTTTGCTACATATACCTGTTACACCATTGCACATCTTAAATTTTAGACCTTTTTGAATACCATCAAGGAAATCATACTCAAGGCTTTATATGCTGAATAGATAAATTACAAATTTAAAATTCAAAGTATGATGTTTCCTTGATGGCGTCCATTTAATTCACTCTAACTGATTTATGCGTACGTACGTACGTAAAACATGTGGTCTTTGAGGATTGTGATGTGATGCCATGTTGTCGTATCTATTTGCACTTATAGGGGTTTCGGGCTCGATTCACTTAGTCAGAGCACTCGCTTTGGCACTGTTGTATCGTACCAGGCACTACCACATATACTACTGTGTATATACTAAGTTGTGTATTCACTAAGCAAACGCTAAACTAACCTGCAACTTTCCTTTGGGATCGTTGCGCATTTATTATAGATTATCAATCCGGGTACTTGATTACCCGGTTACAAATAAACTTTACATTAAATTCATGCATCAGCGATCAAACCATTGACGTTACCCAGTCACGATCGGGTAACCCGTGATCGTACCTAACCCTAGCACTATCAACACAAGGGATGTTGGTCGTCACCATGACACATGTGCATACGAATGTAATGTTACATAAAACAACTTTAGTGCATGCATAATCGCTATTTGCATATTAATTACATAATTCAAATTCTTTTGCATATGTAAAACAACGATCGATAAAACAATTAAATGATCTGTTCTTTAATTATCATCTTTGTTATAAGCAAATGCAGATTTTAAATTTGTTAGAAGAATATATAATCCGATGATAAAGCATAAATTATTTACCGTGGTGCACTGACCAAAAGGCTCGGGATCTAATACAAAATACCCAACAGAAAACTTACAAAAGACTCGGGTATATTAGCGGGGTCAGTGTCGCAAGTAAATGAACTTCAAGCATATACATATTCTGCACTCACAATAAGCAGTCTAAAAATTAAAAAAGAAAAACTATATTTAATTAATAGAGATCTTGTGTTTTGCACCGGGTACTTTACAGAGGGGATATTGAAAAATGGGGATAGTTTGGTCAGTGCACTACGGTACATTATAAAAAAAAATTCTTTTTTGAGATCTAAATTAGGATGACTAGTTAATAGTCAGGTAATTATTAATTTATGATAGAATATATCATTTTGTAGTTGATATTATTTCGCATTATTTTTTTTCTAATTAAACGGCTTGTTGTGATAAATAATCAATTACATATCAAAATATAAGTAGTAAATATTTATAGCGCGCACATACTTGTATGTACTTATGCCATAAGGATTGACAATCGCATATGCATGTATTGTTGTGAGTTTAATAAAGATTAATATTGGAATTAAAATTTTTGCATTTATTCCTCTAAAATCTGTATTGGTGTAAAAATTAACAACGAAAGCATAGAAATTTCTATTTTAGGTGGAATGCATAGATTTATTTTGTATACGGAAAAACAGATATAACAGTGTTAGTTCACTGCAGAACATAATTTAATTAAAGCGTTATGTGTACAAATAAAGAATTTTCGGACAGTTTTTCTATAATATTAGCTAAAACAGGTAAACTATCATTTAGTGTTGTAATGTCGAAAATTAATTTTAATATAGTTTACATTTATAGTTTACCATAATGGTAAAACTTCCTAAAATGTTCGAATTAAAGAAAATGGAAATTAGAAAATATAAATTGAGGTGTAATTCGCACTTTTCATTAATTGCGTTTTGAACTTTCGCATCTCTCTCTTTTCATTTCCTTAAACCTTTACACCATTATAAATCCTCTAATTCATTAATCCTTAACACAACAAATCCTCTAATATCTATAAACCTCTTTGTAATCATGCTCGTGACTAAAATTCTGTCTGTTGCAGTTGCCATTATAGCCACTCTCACCATAAATGCTGACGCAAAGTTATTCCGTACAAATGCTGATCTTAATATCCGCGAGCAACCATCTATAAAAGCCAAGATTATCCGTGTTGCTCAAAAAGGTTCTAATGTCGATGTTACCTGCCAAACTACTGGTGACACTGTTAATGGTAAAAACATTTGGGACAAATTAGCAGATGGCTCCTATTGTTTTGATGGTTACGTAGATGGTGCTGTTGGTCTTGCACGCTGCGATAATCCTCCTCCTGCTAATCCTCCAGCTACATCAGCTAATAATGGTAAAATTAATGAGGATGGCTTAAATATTATAAAAGAATTTGAGGGATTTAGAAAAAATTTTTATAATGACCCAGCAGTAAGTTTAATATATTCTTATTTATATTACTCAATTGTTAGACTTTTAATTAAGTAAATTATTGACTTATCACAATTTTCAGGGTTTCAGGTCTATAGGCTATGGTCATAATTGTAAAGCCGATCCAACTAATTGTAATAATATTCACGCTCCAATCACTCCTGCACAAGGAGAAGATTTACTTAGGAGTGATGTGGCTCCTAAAGAGGATTGCGTTAAAAAACTTGCCCCTGCTAATATCGATTCAAACAAATTCTCTGCTTTAGTTTCTTTTGCTTATAACCTTGGATGTCCTTACCTTGGAAGTTCTTCTTTACTTAAGAAACTTAATGCTGGTGATATAAAGGGTGCTGCTAATGAATTTGCTTTATACAACAGAGGTGGTGGTAAAGTGCTTCCTGGTCTAGTAAGACGACGTAAAGCCGAGAGAGATTTATTTTGCAAAAGTGGTGGATGCTAATAATTCCAGTTTAGTTATATTTTTTTTTATTTAATAGTTTATTTTAAATTTATAAAGGCTTGATTCATAGAGGCTAGCCTAATCATCAAAGTTAATGGTGAAAGTTTAAGGGTCAAACAAGATGTCTTTAAACTGAAAGAGATCTATTTTGCAAAGTGGTGGATGTTAATGCGTTTTGTTTAGTTATACATGTTTATTTAATATATTATAATTATAGAGGCTTAAATTTATAGTTTTAATCTATTGATGATAATATTGTAATTATTATTATTATTAAAATAAATTTATCATTTTTTATAATTTTTGAGCTAAGTCTAGTTGAGTAGAATTTTTGAGAATGTATTAATGCTGCACGAATATGCATATAACCTCGGATATGTTCACTTTAGGCATGTATTTCAACATTCACAAAAAACTGTATTAGTAAACTGCTGATTAATTAAAGTTTTGAATTTTTTCATTCCTTTGTTTTTTTTCAGCCTAAAAAACAATTTTTGTTAAACATTCTTTGTCAGTGATTTGTATATTACATACATACGTACGTACGTACGACGCTATGCATAACCCGATGGGGTGGTCTGTCAACTAAGTAAATCAAAACTATATATGGTATCATAAAAATTTACTATACGAATTTTTTGTGTAACATTAGCGTTGATCTCTTTGATTATAACGAACAATACATATTAATTTAATTTATCAATAATATATCGATACATTTAATTTAAAGATTACATAAATATATTGTTAAAAATATTTGAAGCAATATTAGACCCGAATGATAATTGAGTCTCTTGAAGTGGAATTTTCTTTTTATTTCTTTTCGCTCTTATTTCATTTAATTTATTTGAATAATTTTCTTTGGTGATTTTGCTTGAAGATAAACGAAGTTTAGATTGCTTTGTTGACATCAACATATTAGGATGCGTTTTTAGGTCTAATTTATTGAAAAGACCTTCTACTTGCTGTTGATGGATAATGATAAAATAGATCCGGGTTTTTATAAAATTATATAGGTTAGGAAAATCATATATATTTGAGTTATCATTAATGCAGAATTGTTCATATTCTTTCATGAAATCATAATCGCTTAATAACAATTCTTGCAACTCAAAAGTATTAGTTATTTTGTGATTTAAGTCATCTTCAAGTTCACTTGCATATCGTAATTCTAGATCTGTTGGTGGTTTAATCCAAGGCTTCTTTAAAACTATATGATAAAATCTAGATGCAAAAAATCTAGCATTATTACCACCAAGGTGGCAAACTGATAATAGTAAATGGAGCCATGGTAAAGACCATTTTTCAAAGTATTCTAATACTTTAACACATCCTTTTTCCAAATTATTAAAAAATATTTTAAATTTTTCATTAGACAATATATCAATAGCTTCTAGAAGTTCATTGGCAAAAAACATTTCAAAGTTTTTATTAAGATTTTGGAAAAATTTATGCTATTCATAAACTTTATCTGGCATTTCATATACATGCCGGCCAGGAGGTCAGGTAGTCAATTGTCTATTTCTATAAATTCATATAACATTATCTTTACTGATTAAAAAGTTCATAAAAATGTTCAGCAAAGTTAACTAAATACTTTATTTGTATAAAAAGTTTTAAATCAAGAAGCCATATTTGAAAAAGAATCCAATTATTAAGATATGATTTTGGTATATTTTTATAATTTTTTATTTTATTAATGAACCATTGTGCAAATTCAATATGTGCTAAGTAGCTATTCGTAACTCATAACTCCAACGTGAGCATAGTGGTAATTGATATTGATTGTAGTGAAATTCAGCAAACCATCATATAAATTAGTAATGATTTGCAAATTTATATTAAATGGCTTGTCCCTGTTATTTTAATTGTAACCATTATGCAATTTTCAAGCTAAGTAAAGTAAGTTATAAATATGTGGTTGTTATGAAAATCCTGTATTGCTAGAAAGTGTTCCAAATGCTGCTTGTTCAAAATGATTTATTACAATTTGTACTATGTGAAGTCCACAACCAACACACAATGAATTTGAATTAGTTTTTTTGTTATAAAGAACTATCACTCCTTTTTTATCTCCTGATAAATAGGATGTATTATCAGTCATCTATAAAGAACATTTGTTAAAATCCAATCCACTCATTTTAATATCTTCAATTACTAAATCTGATATCATTTCAGCATTACATCTTGAAATATTTTTTAATTGAGAAAGTATTGCTACAGGTGCTTGTTTATACTAATTCCAATACTGATAACAAAAAACAAAATTTTTTATTTGTCCACATGTGGATTTATCCACCATAACTCCAAATACAGAAACACTTGCTGCTTGATAAATTTGTTTGTTAAAAAACAATTCAGAAATATCTTGATACCATGTTTGTAAACACGATCTTGTAAGCCAATTTTGAGGTGGCTCTCCAACTAAAAACTCATAAACTATATTCTTCTATTAAATATAAAAATTTCAGCTAATTTGGTCTGGTTGTTTACATTCAACTGTAGATCATAAAGACATCCAACCCACTTGTAAAAAGCTAGTAGCAAGCCATATTGTGTTTGATGAATATTTACACTTATTAGTTTTAAACAAAGATTTTATTTTTTTTTGAAATTCTATATCACTAAGTTGTTTTAAATGCCCAACTAGAGAGCGAATTTCAGAAATATATTTTGATTTCTAATTTTGAAGATGTTGAGTTTGTGCTCCCAAAGATTGGGTTCATTTGGCAAGTAATTGATTTTTTTGAACAAGTGATTGATTTTTTTGAACAAATTTTTGTTATTTTTTTCTAGTTGTAAATTTGAAATTTGTAAAGTATGATAGTCAGATTTATACTTGTAATAACTTTGAATAAAATAATTATATGATTTTTGTTATAAGTATAAGAAAATAATATCTTCTTTATTTGAACCTTTCGGATATCTCATTAAAGAGATAAGATTATTTTTAACAATGCATCTTTGTCAGATAATTTCTGAACTGTTGAAATTAGCTGCATTTTTTGTGAACTTTCTATTTCATTGGTTGATGCTATTTCATTAGTTGATACTGCTGATGCCATCTCGTTGGCTTTGTTGGTTGATACCATTGATGCCATCTCATTGGCTTTGTTAGTTGTTACTGTTGATGCCATCTCATTGACTTTGTTGGTTGATACTATTGATGCCATCTCATTGGCTTTGTTAGTTGATGCTATTTCATTGGTTGATACAGTTGATGCCATCTCGTTGGCTTTGTTGGTTGATAATAGTTGCCTTTTATGTTGTTTTTTTAGGTGGGCATTTTTTAATTAAAATCGTCGTTTATTTGATTTGTAAATCCCTATTTTGATGCACAAAGCTCAATAATTATACGATAATTATTTAGATGCAGGGCCTTTAATACTATAAATAAGAAGCTCAAATTTTGAGTGGATCGATAGAAGACCTTAACAATGCAAATTACAGAGCAAAATTTTATATTTACTTAAAAAAAAAAAATTATCGGCAGCTTAAACTTCGTCAAGATTATCCAAACAATAAATATAGATAAATTAAGTTAGGAAAAACTTTTTTTCCATATATAATTTAAAAAAAGGTTCTGTAACTTTGTTACTGGAATAGGAAAGAGTCAATTGGCGTTGAAACTTGCTGCAAAAAAACGAGAAATGAAACCTGTGCATCTAAAAAAAGGTACGGCAATTTTTATATAGTTATATATAAATATATGTCAATGATAGTCATACTGATCAAAAAAATTCGTATAGTAAATTTTTATGATACCATACATAGATTTGATTTACTTAGCTGACAGACCACCCCAACGATAAGAGCAAAGTGAAAGTAAGAGTTTGAAAAACATTAAATGTAGAAGTAAAAAAGCAAAGGCGATAAAAAGAGTAAACAATAAAAATGATGTAAATAAAAAAAAAGAAGCCCAAAAGTTAGTAAAGTACAATGCGAATATAAATATGGAACACGTGTAAAAACAATGGTATGGTAATCCTAGTGACACGCTCCTGGAGATTATTTATTTATTTCCTGTGGGGAAATTATAACAGAGGTTACCGATGATCATAGTGCGTGGATGGCCCATGTGCTATGATCATCGGTAACCTCTACTCCCCCAATAAATAAATAATACTAAATGTGTTCCGCTCACTTCATCGATGCTTCTTTTGTAGACACCAAACATATGAAAGCTAATTCGAAAGTTTTCTAAACTTCTAACGATCAAATTTGGTAAAAATCTTTTTATTTCTTGTATAATTAAAATAAAAAAAGATTATGGAATTTGGTTTATTAGTTGTCAAGAAATCATCATTAAAAGTCATAAAAACACTTAATATCTTGTAAAATCATGTGAGTTTTTCTTTCTTTGAACTTTAAACACAGATTTATTGATAACCAACTATCCGAATTTGACTAGCTTCTTTTATTTTAATTCTATGAACCCACAAAATTAAAATAAAAAAAAACATCAAATTCGGATACTCGTGGCAAACAACTGTCCGAATTTGACTAACTTTTTTTATTTTAATTTCAGAAGTTCATAGAATTAAAATAAAAAAAAATTGATCGAATTTAAATAGCTTGTTGTCGATAAATATTTATTAAATGCTAAAGTTTTTTTTTTATTAGCGCCTAACTTTGAACAATAATTACTTGGTACTTACTTAATCAAATTCGATTAAATTTTTTTAATTCTATATGCTCATAGAGTTAAAATAAAAAAATTTGGTCGAATTTGACTAGCTAAGTGCCGAGTAATCTTCGTTCAACGTTTTGATGTCTTTAAAAAAGAAGCTGCGACCAAACTTTTTTTAGCCTTAATGGATATTTCTCAACAACCTGCTATTCAAATTTGATCAATTTTTTTATTTTAATTCTATGAACTCTCAGAATTAAAATAAAAAAAGTTAGTCAAATTCGGATAGTTGGTTATTAAGAAATCTGTGTTTAAAGTTCGAAGAAAAAAAATTCACATGATTTTAGTATTTTTTCCAGGATATTGTTACTATTGTTGGGAGAGCGATGGTAAGATTAGGTGCGATTTAGCTCCAATAGTAAACTTCTGAGGGTTTATAAGTATCGTTCGTTTATCCTTGGGCACGTGAATTTAAGTCTCGAATTGCGTACGTAGATCAGGATCGGGTCCTTACTAAATTAGTCCTGATTCGGATTATGCACGTAATTTAAGGATGTACCAAAAGGGTAATTTAGGTATGGCGTCAGGTTATAAACAATGGGATGGGTCTACTAAGAAAATGGGCGGACGGGTATAAGACAATAAGGTCGTTTAGGGTTAATTACGATAAGATACTATAAGATTTAGGTCAATATTTAAAGGGAGTTCTAAGATAACAATAATAAAATAAAGAATAATAAAAACGTATAACAATATCATTCAACAATTATTTAAACAAGTGAGAATTCGATTCCTAATTTTCACGGGACACTTAAAGATCACTGAACCCAGTGATCGACAATCATGTGATGATCACTGGGTTCAGTGTTCTTTAATCTTCCCATTTTCACTTCATTTATTAAAGACATCGAAGTCTGAGAGAACTTTATTACCGAATTTTGGGTGTCCTTAAATATATTTTTACTTCCTATGTACTACTGCGCTTGAGTTTTATAAGATTCTTTAATTCCCAGCACAGCTTCCACGCTTAGACACGGATTGTTAACAACCCGGGTTGGGGAAGCCCTCTATAAAAATTGCCCTCAATTCGTGTCCCAAATATTACCTACAACTTCTACAATAAACATTAATCACAACTATTGATATAAATATTTACTACAATAATTGTTTCTAATATTGATCACAATTACAAGTCCCTTAAGCCCTCCGATTTCCAATATATGATTCATAATTACTATGATAAACAAAGAAAAATAAATAAATAAAAATTTTCTACGCACCATCTTTGCAGAAACCTTTGATTTTGCTAAATATATTTACTATATAATAAGAATATAATAAGAATATAATTAAAATATA